TGTTGGACCGAGTCCCAGCCCCCAAGGTCCGCAGCACACTGAGGGCAGTCCTGGGGTTCCTCAACTATTACAGAAAGTTTGTACCTAACTTCATCCGAACCGCCTCAGTCCTGAACAAGCTGCTGAGGGAAGAGCAGGCTTGGCAATGGGGAGAGGCTGAGCAGGGGGCACTAGAGGCGTTGCTCAAGGCCGTGAAGAACGGAACCGTCCTCACCCTGCCCAGCAAGGAGGACCCCTTCGTGCTATACACCGACTGGAGCAGTGCGGGTATGGGGGGCATCTTATGCCAGGAGAGAGAGGGACAAGAGATGGTGGTGGCATTTGCGAGCAGGAGCTGCAACCCCGTAGAGGCGAAGTACAGCTCCTACGAAGGAGAAGGGCTAGCAGCAGTATGGGCCATCACCCACTTCCGCATGTACCTACAAGGGAGGCCTTTTGTGCTCGTCACCGACCATCAGCCCTTAACGTGGCTGATGACCAATCAGGCGTTGACTGGCAGGAACGCTAGGTGGGCGATGAGACTGCAGGAATACGAGTTCACCATACGGCACCAGCCCGGCAAGACGTTACAGCACGTGAATGGGCTCTCTAGAAGCCCTCCACCCACGAGTCCCTCGGCGTGCTTGGTGGCGTTAGCCAGGGAGAGAGACGGGGAAGGAGCGAAGAAGGGAGCGCAGAAGGGAGCGGAGGACGTATGGAAGGACGCCGAGACTCTGCGCTGGATCCAAGGGAAAACTTCCGAGGCAGAGCCAGTGAGCGAAAGAGCCAGGGCTAGGGGGCTGCACTACCGGTGGTATCAGAAGCAGCTGCAGAAGAACACTAAGGAAGGGTGGAAGCTGGTACCTCGTAAAGAGGAGTGGGAAGCGATAATAGCGAAGGTGCACCGGCAGCTGGGGCACTACGGCAGCCTCAGAACGAGCCAGTTAATCAAAACAGGCTGGTGGTGGGCCGGGATGAGGGGAGAAATCAAGGAGTGGGTGGGCTCCTGTGAGTTGTGCAGGAACAAGGCTGAGCTGGAGAGGGGGAGAGAAGGGCGGCATGTCAAACATCATACATGTTTACATTGTGTAGGCTATAGTGGGTTTAGCCTTAGGGGGTACAACATTGCTAGGGTTTCCTACTTGTATCTCCCTGCTGCCTAGTTTCACACATTCTCGTTCTATTCTAGATTCTAACATGCTATCAGAGCAGGTCGATCCCCTTGGGTCGATCCTGTGGGTGGGCCCACCACCTCACTGCTTCCGCTGCTACTGCTACTCTGTGTGTTGCACGCCCCGTGGCGTGCGACGGATTTTTCATCCCGCCGCGCGCTCGGAGCGTGCGGCGGTTTTCTGCCCGCCGTGCGCCCCGAGGCGCGCGGCGGTTTTCTGCCCGCCGTGCGCCCCGAGGCGCGCGGCGGTTTTCTGCCCGCCGTGCGCCCCGAGGCGCGCGGCGGCTTTCTGCCCCGTCACTCCGCGCGTCGCTCCCGGGAGGCGCTGCGACGGGCGACGGGGACCCGCGCGTCGCCCCCCGTCGCCCGTCGCGGCCTGCGCGACCTGCGTAGGGCCCGCGCGCGGCCCGTACAGCCTGCGCGCGGCCCGTACGGGCTGCGCCAGGCCCGCGCGCGGCCCGTACGGGCTGCGCCAGGCCCGCGCGCGGCCCGTACGGGCAGCGCCAGGCCCGCGCGCGGCCCGTACGGACTGCGCCAGGCCAGGGCGCGCCTCGGGCCGCCTGCACGCGGTTCGTACGGGCTGCGCCAGGCCCGTGGGGGCCCTGTTTTCTCTGCCCCTGCGCTGCCCGCTGTCCCCCGTGCTTCTGACGGCGCCCCACCCCTGCTGCTGCCCGTTCTCCTGAATTAGGGTTTGGGGGTGGGGGATATGGGGGTGCAGTTTCTGTGCGTCGTCCCCTACTCCTCCTCCTCCTCCTCCGTCTCCCAGTGCTGCAGCTGCCGCTGAGGGGGGTGGGTGTGTGGGAGCCGAAGGAGTGGTACTAGGGGGGTGACGTGCAAGTGGAGTTAGGAGTGAAGCAGTGGGTGTGTGGGGGGTGTGTGGGACAGTTGGAGGAGGTTGAGCGAAGGCTGCTGTCTTGTCGTCCGCAGCACCTGTAGTCCGGGGCGCACTGTCCTGGTAGCCCAGAGAGTCTGCTGCGCCTGTCGCCCGAGGGTCCGTTGCTCCTGTAGCTCGTCGTAGCCCGTGAGCCAGTTACTCCAGTAGTCCGGGGCGCACTGTCCCGGTAGCCACTGTGCCAGCAGCTCCTGTTGCCCGTGTGTCTGCAGCTTCAGCCGCCGTCTCTCATCTTCTCTCCTCTCACAGTCCCTCCTCCTCCTCACTTGCCCGCTGTGATTACCTCTAGCTTTGCTTCTTATTGTGAACTCCTGCTATACCTGCTCATTGTGCTGATTACACCCCACTTTGGCTATGGGGGTGTGTCAGAATGTTGTATTTGTCTAGCCTGCAGTGGGGTACTCTATAGCGAGTACAGCCCAATCTAGGGTTTCCTATATGTACTCAACTGCTTGCTAGACAAATACAACATTCTGACACGGCATTCATTGCCGATCAGAGGCATTGGGTTCCGTTGGTCATTGGACTTGGCCGGAGAAATGCCCCTCAGTCGGCGAGGAAAGAGATTCATCCTTATCATAATTGAGCACGGCAGTAAGTGGGTAGAGGTCAAGGCGCTGCCCAGCAAGAGCTCAGCGAGGATAGCTGAGGCCTTCGAAGACCAAGTGCTGACCAGATTTGGGGCGTGTGGAGAGGTGTTGACCGATCAAGGCATCGAGTTCCTGGGAGAATTCGAGAAGCTGCTGAAAGAGAGCGGGATCACGCACCGGAGGACTTCCCGGTATCACCCACAGAGTGATGGGCTGACAGAGAGATTTGTTCAGACCGTCAAAAAGGGGTTAAGGGCCTACGGAGAGCGGTTCAAGCGAGACTGGGATGCGCGGCTGCCCTGGGTGGTAGCGGGCTACCGATTCAGTAAGAAGGCAGCGCTAAGAGACTTCTCCCTGTAGTATCTGCTGCTGGGACGAGAACCCATACTCCCCGTGGACGCGCCCCGGCTACTGACGGATGTGGTGACCACTAGCTCGGAAGAGGGGTGGGTGGGGCTGGCGGAAGCACGGGCGAGGTATCTGCGAGAAATGCTGCCAGCAGCACTGGAGAACCTGCAAGTGGCTCAGCTCCGAGACGCACAGAGATACAAGCGAAGGAAGGAGAGCAAGGTGGAGAAGAGGGGGCAACCACTGGGGGTGGGAGAAGAGGTGTATGTAAAACAGGCTCGGCAAGACATGATGGATGTGGGGTTGAGCACGGAGCGATGGAGAGTGAAGGAGGTCAAGGACTCTGGAGTAGTGGTGCTAGTGAGTGAGAAGGGCCAAGAGAAACGGGATCATCAGACGAACGTGGCACTGGCCCGACCCAGGAGAGAACGCCAGGAAGCCGGAAGTAACATAGCGACCACGGGTGGAAGCCAGCCTTTCAAACAGAATGTCCATCGGCAGCGGGAGGCAGAGCTGGAGCCGAGGAGGGGGCAAGTGGGAAAGGCTGGGCCAAAGATCCAAGGCATGAAGAGAGAACTGAGAAACCTGGTGGGGTAAAGAAGGAACAGAGGCAGAGAACGGCAGTACTGGAGGAGCCAGCAACGGGAGAGAAGCCTGGAGGAAGAGAGAGGTTCCGACAGCTGTCATGCTTTTAATTGTAGGAATAGATGATCAATATAAAAGCAAGACAAATAAGTTAGCGCAAAGTCCTGTAGAAAAACAGGCGGGAGTCGAGGGTACAGTGGGCGGGGAAATGTGCCGAAGTAGCGAAAAGCGAGTACCGTTGCTAGCAACGGTAACCAGAAAGGAGATACTTAGGCAAACAACGAGGTGAGAGTAACTTGCTTGCTTGTTTGTTTCCACTCTAAGCAAAGAATCGATCCTAGGGAACCTCTAGTGTCGTTGCCAGTGGAGGAGCCAATCACAGCAAGCACCTTGGCTATTCGAGAGGGTTGTGCGAGACAGTCAACCGAGCTAGGTTTTCCTAGTCAAGTTCAGCATCCTGCTAGGAACTTCCAAGTGGGAAAGGCTGGGCCAAAGACCCAAGGCATGAAGAGAGAACTGAGAAACCTGGTGGGGTAAAGAAGGAACGGAGGCAGAGAATGGCAGTACTGGAGGAGCCAGCAACGGGAGAGAAGCCTGGAGAAAGAGAGAGGTTCCAACAGAGACTAGGTCATTTCGAAATCCATTGTACTATTCTATAAACCTATGCATGTGCTTGTTTTAATAATCTCAGGCATTTTATATTCGCTCTGACTTGAGATCAATTCTTCCGCTGCAACCCACTTTCTGCGAACCTTCATGAGGTGATCTTAGGCACGATCAACTTTCTGATCGCAACGCATTCAACTAACATAGGAATTCACAGACTTCCGTTGCATTACTTTATCAAGACTAAATGTCAGTAGACTTGCACTCTGAGAACCGATTGATCGTAGTGGGTTTACATGCATGCATTTGGAACAAACGGTTTTTTACAAGTGGTCTAGTGGCTGAGATTCTGACATGGTATCAGAGCGGTCCCGGGTTCGAATACCGGTGTATGACCATGCAGACCGTTGTTGCTGTGCCGAGTCCTGGACCTCCTAGTGTGTAGGGGTGCCAGTAGACGTGAACTGTGAGATACCCGATTTATCATAGAAGGGTTACATGCATGTTAGACTGGGGGGGTTTGGGTGCACGAACCGGCAATTGGAACAAGCTAAACTCTATAAGATCCTGAAGGCATTTTTCTCAGCCCAACATCAAGGACTCAACCTCTCTAAAAGTCGACGTTTTTGCAAAATCTACTCCATAAGATGCACGAACATTTTCAGTCCCTCCCCTGTCCCCCTTCCCAACAAGCTTGATTTACTTAACACCGTCATGGTGAGCAACTTCCTACTTCAGACTCACAAAACTGTCCCTGTTTTAATATTTTCTCAATCCATTTGCTCCGTGTGCACAGCATCCCTCAGTTGACGTATGCAGGCCAGAAGCATCAGCTCCACCGGGCGGCATTGGACACCCTTCCACTGCGCGCACCCCCTCTCACACCACCTGCTTTCCCCCTCCACCCTCCTCTCTTCACATGGCCGCCTCTCCTGCTGGTCGCAGCGGGCGTGGAGAGGAAGGAGTGGAGGGAGGAGAGCCAGGCGGTGGCCTGGGTGACCTCGCGGTGCAGCAGCAGGTGGCGCCCGTACCGCGCCAGCTCACCCCCCACGCCCCGCCGCTGCAGATACGCCTCCACCTCCGCCCGCACGGCGGGCGGCACGGCGCTGCCAGGCGGTTTGGGAGAGAGTAGTGGGATTAGCACCACGGAGATTTGATGAAGTGGGGAGGAGAGATGTAGAGTGAGAGTGAAAAGAGAAGAAAGTGTGGATGAGTTGGCATGTAAGAAGGGAGAAGTATCTTACGTATGGCTGTAAGAAACCACTCAGAGGGACTCACTCATAGAGGGTGTAGTCGAAGGGCACTCTGAACGAGTCCTCGTGCACTGCTGCCTCGTCCACCGCCACCTGCCCGGGGTGTGCGTGGGCATGGGGGCCCATGGGGGGGCATGGGGGGGCATGGGGGGCCATGGGGGGGCATGGGGGGGAATGGGGGGGCATGGGGGGGCATGGGGGGCATGGGGGGGCATGGGGGGGCATGGGGGGGCATGGGGGGGCATGGGGGGGCATGGGGGGGCATGGGGGGGCATGGGGGGGCATGGGGGGGCATGGGGGGGCATGGGGGCGCATGGGGGGGCATGGGGGGGCATGGGGGGGCATGGGGGGGCATGGGGGGGCATGGGGGGGCATGGGGGGGCATGGGGGCGCATGGGGGGGAATGGGGGGGCATGGGGGCGCATGGGGGGGCATGGGGGGGCATGGGGGGGCATGGGGGGGCATGGGGGGGCATGGGGGCGCATGGGGGGGCATGGGGGCGCATGGGAGGGCATGGGGGGGCATGGGGGGGCATGGGGGGGCATGGGGGGGCATGGGGGCGCATGGGGGCGCATGGGGGGGCATGGGGGGGCATGGGGGGCCATGGGGGGGCATGGGGGGGCATGGGGGGGCATGGGGGGGCATGGGGGGGCATGGGGGGGCATGGGGGCGCATGGGGGGGCATGGGGGGGCATGGGGGCGCATGGGGGGGCATGGGGGGGCATGGGGGGGCATGGGGGGGCATCGGGAGGCGATGGCATGAGGAGATGCAGAGAGGAGGTCAACCTGACACACGCATTCAGTTAGCGGCAAGCAGTGTGAGTGGCCTGTGTGCACTTGTGCCCCACGACGCTTGCTACAAATGGCAGTGCAGACGACTCACATGGTTCACGAGCCACTCACATGGTTCACGAGCCACTCACATGGTTCACGAGCCACTCACATGGTTCACGAGCCACTGGTCGCCTGCAATGGTGCAGTGCACTCGCAGCCGCGCCTCCCCCTCACCACCCCCTGTCGCCGTGCCTGCTGCTGCTGCTGCTGCAGCGTCCGCTCGCCCCTCGCCCGTCATGCGCCTCACAGGCCTGCCCCTCACCGGGCCCTCCCTGCCACCCATGCCCGCCATGCCCATCGCCATGCTCCTTGCTGCCATGCTGCCCGCCTGGACGGAGCGCACCGGCTTGGACACGAGGATGAGCGCCGGGATGCCCGCATCGCTCTCACCGCCCCCAACGCCACTGCCACTGCCATGTGCCTCACCAGCCCCGCCGTCATCCCACTCCCCATCCCCCTCCCTCCCCTCCTCCCCCTGGTCCACGAGTCCCCCCTCGTGCCCCTGCAGCAACAGCATGAGGCGCAGCTGCTCGCCGTGGAAGGCGCGTGTCAGCCACAGGTCCGCCACGCCCTCGCGCTCCTCCACCCGCCACGGCGGGGGCGGCCCTGCCAGGATGGGCTGGGGGGGTGGGAGCAGAGGGCGAGGCAGGTGGGAGGGAGGTGAGGCGCATGGCGAGAGGCGAGAACACGGGCTAGCATGATGAGCACTGGGTAGCATGATGAGCACTGGGTAGCATGGTGAGCACTGGGTAGCTGGGTAGCATGATGAGCACTGGGTAGCATGATGAGCACTGGGTAGCATGATGAGCACTGGGTAGCATGATGAGCACTGGGTAGCATGATGAGCACTGGATAGCATGATGAGCACTGGACTTGGAGGGCATAGGTGGTACGGGTTGACATGGCAGCGAGGGTACGGGGGAGGCCAAAACAGGCAGCAGCAATGTGATGTGGCAGCAGCGGCGCACAGCAGGAGGGGCGGGAGGGGCAGGGCGCACGGAGGGGGGGAGGTACATGGCCTTCTCATGCGCCACCTCCATGCCCACCGCCGCCACCAACTCCTCGTCCGCCCCACCGCCCTCTTCCACTCTCCCTGCCCCGCGCTGCTGCTGCTGCTGCTGCCGCTGCCCCGGCCACCACTCCACCGCCTCCCCCTCCCCCTCCTTCGCCTTGCGCCTTCTCCTCCGCTCACCCTTCCCGCCGCCCCTCTCTGCCGCCGCTGACCGTTCTAGCTGTTTCCGCCAGTACGCCTCTCCCCACTCCGCCTCCCCCTCCGCCCCGCGCTCGTCCGCGTGCGCCGCGTCTCCCCGCGCCCCTCCTGCGCGCCTCCTGCCGCCATCCCTCGCCACCCCCGCTGGCCCCATGGCGTCACCGCCACCAGCTGCTGACACGCCATACCTTCGCCCGCCCACGCCCGCTAGCGCGCACGGCCCCTCCGCTGCACCTCCCCGCCTTGCCTCTGCGTCACTCCGCCAACCGCCGCCACTCACCGCCCGCCACATCGTCGTCCCCTCACTCTCCACCTGTGTGCCTTGAAGCGAAATCTGCGTCGCGTCAGCGCCGGCCGGCGTCCACCGTGCGACCGCCTCTCGCCACGCGCTGCCGCGCGCGCCCCCCTTGCACTCCCTCCGCATGCCGCCGTCGCCGCTCCCTCCTCCGCCCGCCCTGCTCCCACTCCGCTCCTCCCACATCCCCGTCCCCGCGCCGCTACACTGCGCGTCACAGCGAAGAATCCGATCCGCCGAGAGCGCGGGGGGCACGCGGCGGTCCCATGGTGTGGCGGCGGCAGGGCAGTTGGCGGAAACTCCCGGCAGGTGCCGCCCGACGGTGAAGAGTGCCGTGCGGGACGGCGCTCGGCGCGCAACAGCGAAGGCCCTCATTCGACGCAGCGCGCTTGGAGGCACGTAGAGCAGCGCGCTTGGAGGCACGTAGAGCAGCGCGCTTGGAGGCACGTAGAGCAGCGCGGGTAAAGCGGCACGCACACGAGCGCGGTAGGCGTAATGGCAAGGCGCGTACAGCTGTTGGTGGCGGCGATGGATGGAGTTGGCGCGCGAGGGGGTGGTGTGCGATGGGGCTGGGTGGGAAGGGAGGAGAAGCAATTTGAGCAGAATGTAGGGGGTGACGGTGATATCTCGTGTTTTCAGAACGGTACAGAACTCAAGGTTTCCGGTAGCTCTGAAACATGTGCTTCTGTTTTGGTAACTCCCGACGATGGACTGGCGACGTCTAGCGAAATGATGTGTGATCATCGCCAATAGAACAGATCAGCAAAGGCGGCAGAGCGGAGACGAGCCCAGAATGGCTCGCGACTACTAATTTGTTACTCTGTGACTTCAATCTTCATTGCGTGTTGCTGACCAACCACAAGAGGACTGCTCGTTCACGCCACCACATCCTGCATACGCTGTCCCAAACCGCACCATCCATCGTCGGTCGTCATCATGTATTTTCTCGCCTGGGCGCATCGCTCGGTGAATCCGCGTCGCCTCATCGGCTCGCTCGTCCCCGCGTCGTCCGCCGTGAATCGCGCACCTCCGTCGTGCGAAGCGCTTATGCCGAGAAAGCTGTGTCCGCCGGAAGCAAGTCCGCGCGCCCTTGCCGCCGCGCAACGCGGCGTGGGCAGCGGCGCGCGTGAATCGGGTGATCCCGCGGAGCCCTGCCAGCGCTGGCCCTCCCTTGAGGCGGGCGCCGCACGCGATGCTGCGCGCGCCGAGACGCACGCGGCGAGTGGGACGAGCGGCGGAGGCGACGCTGCTAAAGGCGCGGGGTGGCGGGGCATGGCGGCGGACGGGGCGGCGGAGCGCATGGGCCGTGGCGGGGAGGTGGGGGGCGGCGCTTGGGCGCGGGTGGCACGCGGTGGACAGGCGGTGAGCAGCATGGTGCACGCGGGAGGGGCGTGCGGAGGGGAACGACCGCCACGTCGCCTGCTGTGCTCCGCACCTTCCCTCGGCGCCGCTGCTGCCGTGGATGGCGGTAGCGGCAGCAGCAGTGGCAGTATGGAGATCTTTAACCGCCGGCTGAAGGCGATGCAGGTGATGATGTGCATGGGGGTGCAACGAGCCATCCGTCGCTCCCATGCCGCCCAGCTGCACGTGTGGTCACCCACGACTGTGCTGCTGCGCTCACTCCCACCGCCCGTCTGCTGCGCTCACTCCCACCGCCCGTCTGCTGCGCTCACTCCCACCGCCCGTCTGCTGCGCTCACTCCCACCGCCCGTCTGCTGCGCTCACTCCCACCGCCCGTCTGCTGCGCTCACTCCCACCGCCCGTCTGCTGCGCCTCTGCCCGTCATTGCCCACCTCGTGTTGCAGCGTGACAGAGCAGCGGCTGACATGGCATTGCCTGATGACGAGGTGCCACGTGGCGATCCCTTAGGCCCCTCATGTCCCGCCCATCCTCCCCACCAATCCGTTACCCCTCGCCTCCGCAGGACTGTCGGCGCACCTTCTCCTCCGTGCTGCTGCTGGGCGGGGCTGCGCTGCCCTCTGTGCTCACCACGCTGCTGCGCACCCACCGTACGTCTCCAGTGGTGCAGTGCGGTTGTGTGTCTGTTCATCTCTGCCAAGCTGTTGCCGCTTTGCCGTCTGTGCTGTGCTGCTGTTCTGTTCTCAACTGTAATAGAGGGGTGCGGATGGGCCATGGCTATGCGGACTGTTGGACTGCACTGCTGCTATCACCCAACTGCCTCCCCCTTGTTGCTGTCCTCCCTGCTCTGCTCGCTTTGCCTATCCCCTGCCACACACCGCCTCTCACCACCTCTCATCGCCTCTCACCGCGTTTCATCGCCTCTCGCCGCCTCTCATGGCACGGTGCTGCGCAGCTCCCAGGCTGCCCAAACGGCCTGTCCAGATGTATGAGCAATTGCTGTCCTCATGCAACCCCATTCCGTACCTACAACTGCCTACCAGATGCACCCACCAGGGGTCACTTGTTCTCTCTCAGCACCCACCAGGGGTCACTTGTTCTCTCTCAGCACCCACCAGGGGTCACTTGTTCTCTCTCAGCACCCACCAGGGGTCACTTGTTCTCTCTCAGCATCCCATTTCTCCGTGGCACATCCTCGTCCGCCCATTCACGCATCCCCTCTCTGCCTCGCCATCCCCCCTCCGCACAGCGGCTGTGCAGCGAGTGGTGGTGGTGGACGTGTCCCCCACGGCCCTCGCACTGGCGCGCGCCCACCTGCCTGCCCACGCCGCCTGCTGCAATGACGCCCCCACTGCCACCGATCACACCTGGACTCCGCACCACACTGAACACCCAGCAGCAGCGAGGGTGCAGGTGGCGTTTGTGCTGGCAGACGAGGAGCACCTGCCCTTCCACGCCAGGTCACCCCCTGCCACGCCTCTTTCTCCATAAAGAACAAGTCTCTACTGCAGCAGCAGCCGTCACCCAAAGCAGCTCTGCCATCCACTCTTCTCTTTTCTCTCACCTGCCGTGCGTCTCAAACCCCCACCCCTACTCGTGCCATGCAGCTCGTTTGACGCGGTGATATCATGTGTGGGGCTGCACTGGGTCAACGACCTGCCCGCCGCCATGACGCACATCAGGTGTGCTGGACCGCCCTGCCCTCTGCTGTGCCGCTCCCTCTCCCCGCGCATCCTCTGCCCGCCCGAAGCACCCCTTCTACCGAAGCATATAGCCCTCCCCACCCTCCTTACTCGTTGCGTCCTCCTCTGCACCCGTCTGCCCGCCCCCCTGTGGCCACCAGGAGGGCGCTGAAGCCAGACGGGCTCTTCCTCGCCGCCATGCTGGGCGGCGACACCCTCAGGTACTGCCAGGGGCTTGGTGCGCTGCACTGCCATGGGCTACTCTCGTTTCTCCCTCCTCCTCGCTTCTGGACACCTCCCTTTTTTTTCACATTCCACCCACTCCCTGCGTGCATGACACTGTGCTTGAGGCACAAGATGCCATATCTCTCCCCCTTCAGCAGTTACTGTTGTTCATTGTGTGGCATGGGTGAAATGCAACTTGTGTGCATGGTGGCATGTGCATGGTGGCATGTGCATGGTGGCATGTGCATGGTGGCATGTGCATGTGCCCCCAGGGAGCTGCGCATAGCATGCACGTTGGCGCACATGGAGAGGCAGGGTGGTGTGGCGGCTCGAGTGGCCCCCATGGCTCAGGTGTGATAGGGGGTGATCCTGGTGGGATGTGAGGCGCGTGGGGCCAAGGCACCAAGAGCTTTTAATAGTAGAATTGAACCTGCCATTTTATGTGGTTACCAGCATGAGCATGTTGTGAGCATCACGCATGTGATCGCCAGCATTGCAGTCTTGTTGCCATAACCCGCCCCCCCTCTTACAGTCATGTCCCCCCTTCCTGCCAACAATCCGCCTCCCCCCTCTTTCCAGGTACGAGATGCGGGCAGTCTACTCACCAGAGCCGGCTTCGCGCTGCCCACAGTGGATGTCGACGAATTCCCCGTCGCCTACCCCTCAGGTGCTCTCGCCTACCCCTCAGGTGCTCTCGCCTACCCCCCAGGTGCTCTCGCCTACCCCTCAGGTGCTCTCGCCTACCCCTCAGGTGCTCTCGCCTACCCCTCAGGTGCTCTCGCCTACCCCTCAGGTGCTCTCGCCTACCCCTCAGGTGCTCTCGCCTACCCCTCAGGTGCACTCGCCTACCCCTCAGGTGCTCTCGCCTACCCCTCAGGTGCTCTCGCCTACCCTCAGGTGCTCTCGCCTACCCCTCAGGTGCTCTCGCCTACCCCTCAGGTGCTCTCGCCTACCCCTCAGGTGCTCTCGCCTACCCCTCAGGTGCTCTCGCCTACTCCCCAGGTGCTCTCGCCTACCCCTCAGGTGCTCTCGCCTACCCCTCAGGTGCTCTCGCCTACCCCTCAGGTGCTCTCGCCTACCCCTCAGGTGCTCTCGCCTACCCCTCAGGTGCTCTCGCCTACCCCTCAGGTGCTCTCGCCTACCCCTCAGGTGCTCTCGCCTACCCCTCAGGTGCTCTCGCCTACCCCTCAGGTGCTCTCGCCTACCCCTCAGGTGCTCTCGCCTACCCCTCAGGTGCTCTCGCCTACCCCCCAGGTGCTCTCGCCTACCCCTCAGGTGCTCTCGCCTACCCCTCAGGTGCTCTCGCCTACCCCTCAGGTGCTCTCGCCTACCCCTCAGGTGCTCTCGCCTACCTCTCAGGTGCTCTCGCCTACCCCTCAGGTGCTCTCGCCTACCCCTCAGGTGCTCTCGCCTACCCCTCAGGTGCTCTCGCCTACCCCCCAGGTGCTCTCGCCTACCCCTCAGGTGCTCTCGCCTACCCCTCGGGTGCTCTCGCCTACCCCCCAGGTGCTCTCGCCTACCCCTCAGGTGCTCTCGCCTACCCCTCAGGTGCTCCCGCCTACCCCTCAGGTGCTCTCGCCTACCCCTCAGGTGCTCTCGCCTACCCCTCAGGTGCTCTCGCCTACCCCTCAGGTGCTCTCGCCTACCCCTCAGGTGCTCTCGCCTACCCCTCAGGTGCTCTCGCCTACCCCTCAGGTGCTCTCGCCTACCCCTCAGGTGCTCTCGCCTACCCCTCAGGTGCTCTCGCCTACCCCCCAGGTGCTCTCGCCTACCCCTCAGGTGCTCTCGCCTACCCCTCAGGTGCTCTCGCCTACCCCTCAGGTGCTCTCGCCTACCCCTCAGGTGCTCTCGCCTACCCCTCAGGTGCTCTCGCCTACCCTTCAGGTGCTCTCGCCTACCCCTCAGGTGCTCTCGCCTACCCCCCAGGTGCTCTCGCCTACCCCTCAGGTGCTCTCGCCTACCCCTCAGGTGCTCTCGCCTACCCCTCAGGTGCTCTCGCCTACCCCTCAGGTGCTCTCGCCTACCCCTCAGGTGCTCTCGCCTACCCCTCAGGTGCTCTCGCCTACCCCTCAGGTGCTCTCGCCTACCCCTCAGGTGCTCTCGCCTACCCCTCAGGTGCTCTCGCCTACCCCTCAGGTGCTCTCGCCTACCCCCCAGGTGCTCTCGCCTACCCCTCAGGTGCTCTCGCCTACCCCTCAGGTGCTCTCGCCTACCCCCCAGGTGCTCTCGCCTACCCCTCAGGTGCTCTCGCCTACCCTTCAGGTGCTCTCGCCTACCCCTCAGGTGCTCTCGCCTACCCCTCAGGTGCGCTCGCCTACCCCTCAGGTGCTCTCGCCTACCCCTCAGGTGCTCTCGCCTACCCCCCCAGGTGCTCTCGCCTACCCCTCAGGTGCTCTCGCCTACCCCTCAGGTGCTCTCGCCTACCCCCCAGGTGCTCTCGCCTACCCCTACCCCTCAGGTGCTCTCGCCTACCCCCCAGGTGCTCTCGCCTACCCCTCAGGTGCTCTCGCCTACCCCTCAGGTGCTCTCGCCTACCCCTCAGGTGCTCTCGCCTACCCCTCAAGTGCTCTCGCCTACCCCTCAGGTGCTCTCGCCTACCCCTCAGGTGCTCTCGCCTACCCCTCAGGTGCTCTCGCCTACCCCTCAGGTGCGCTCGCCTACCCCTCAGGTGCTCTCGCCTACCCCTCAGGTGCTCTCGCCTACCCCCCAGGTGCTCTCGCCTACCCCTCAGGTGCTCTCGCCTACCCCTCAGGTGCTCTCGCCTACCCCCCAGGTGCTCTCGCCTACCCCTACCCCTCAGGTGCTCTCGCCTACCCCCCAGGTGCTCTCGCCTACCCCTCAGGTGCTCTCGCCTACCCCTCAGGTGCTCTCGCCTACCCCTCAGGTGCTCTCGCCTACCCCTCAAGTGCTCTCGCCTACCCCTCAGGTGCTCTCGCCTACCCCTCAGGTGCTCTCGCCTACCCCTCAGGTGCTCTCGCCTACCCCTCAGGTGCTCTCGCCTACCCCTCAGGTGCTCTCGCCTACCCCCCAGGTGCTCTCGCCTACCCCTCAGGTGCTCTCGCCTACCCCTCAGGTGCTCTCGCCTACCCCTCAGGTGCTCTCGCCTACCCCTCAGGTGCTCTCGCCTACCCCTCAGGTGCTCTCGCCTACCCCCCAGGTGCTCTCGCCTACCCCTCAGGTGCTCTCGCCTACCCCTCAGGTGCTCTCGCCTACCCCCCAGGTGCTCTCGCCTACCCCTCAGGTGCTCTCGCCTACCCCTCAGGTGCTCTCGCCTACCCCTCAGGTGCTCTCGCCTACCTCTCAGGTGCTCTCGCCTACCCCTCAGGTGCTCTCGCCTACCCCTCAGGTGCTCTCGCCTACCCCTCAGGTGCTCTCGCCTACCCCCCAGGTGCTCTCGCCTACCCCTCAGGTGCTCTCGCCTACCCCTCGGGTGCTCTCGCCTACCCCCCAGGTGCTCTCGCCTACCCCTCAGGTGCTCTCGCCTACCCCTCAGGTGCTCCCGCCTACCCCTCAGGTGCTCTCGCCTACCCCTCAGGTGCTCTCGCCTACCCCTCAGGTGCTCTCGCCTACCCCTCAGGTGCTCTCGCCTACCCCTCAGGTGCTCTCGCCTACCCCTCAGGTGCTCTCGCCTACCCCTCAGGTGCTCTCGCCTACCCCTCAGGTGCTCTCGCCTACCCCTCAGGTGCTCTCGCCTACCCCCCAGGTGCTCTCGCCTACCCCTCAGGTGCTCTCGCCTACCCCTCAGGTGCTCTCGCCTACCCCTCAGGTGCTCTCGCCTACCCCCCAGGTGCTCTCGCCTACCCCTCAGGTGCTCTCGCCTACCCTTCAGGTGCTCTCGCCTACCCCTCAGGTGCTCTCGCCTACCCCTCAGGTGCGCTCGCCTACCCCTCAGGTGCTCTCGCCTACCCCTCAGGTGCTCTCGCCTACCCCCCAGGTGCTCTCGCCTACCCCTCAGGTGCTCTCGCCTACCCCTCAGGTGCTCTCGCCTACCCCCCAGGTGCTCTCGCCTACCCCTACCCCTCAGGTGCTCTCGCCTACCCCCCAGGTGCTCTCGCCTACCCCTCAGGTGCTCTCGCCTACCCCTCAGGTGCTCTCGCCTACCCCTCAGGTGCTCTCGCCTACCCCTCAAGTGCTCTCGCCTACCCCTCAGGTGCTCTCGCCTACCCCTCAGGTGCTCTCGCCTACCCCTCAGGTGCGCTCGCCTACCCCTCAGGTGCTCTCGCCTACCCCTCAGGTGCTCTCGCCTACCCCTCAGGTGCTCTCGCCTACCCCTCAGGTGCTCTCGCCTACCCCTCAGGTGCTCTCGCCTACCCCTCAGGTGCTCTCGCCTACCCCTCAGGTGCTCTCGCCTACCCCTCAGGTGCTCTCGCCTACCCCTCAGGTGCTCTCGCCTACCCCTCAGGTGCTCTCGCCTACCCCTCAGGTGCTCTCGCCTACCCCTCAGGTGCTCTCGCCTACCCCTCAGGTGCTCTCGCCTACCCCTCAGGTGCTCTCGCCTACCCCTCAGGTGCTCTCGCCTACCCCTCAGGTGCTCTCGCCTACCCCTCAGGTGCTCTCGCCTACCCCCCAGGTGCTCTCGCCTACCCCTCAGGTGCTCTCGCCTACCCCTCAGGTGCGCTCGCCTACCCCTCAGGTGCTCTCGCCTACCCCTCAGGTGCTCTCGCCTACCCCCCAGGTGCTCTCGCCTACCCCTCAGGTGCTCTCGCCTACCCCTCAGGTGCTCTCGCCTACCCCCCAGGTGCTCTCGCCTACCCCTACCCCTCAGGTGCTCTCGCCTACCCCCCAGGTGCTCTCGCCTACCCCTCAGGTGCTCTCGCCTACCCCTCAGGTGCTCTCGCCTACCCCTCAGGTGCTCTCGCCTACCCCTCAAGTGCTCTCGCCTACCCCTCAGGTGCTCTCGCCTACCCCTCAGGTGCTCTCGCCTACCCCTCAGGTGCTCTCGCCTACCCCTCAGGTGCTCTCGCCTACCCCTCAGGTGCTCTCGCCTACCCCCCAGGTGCTCTCGCCTACCCCTCAGGTGCTCTCGCCTACCCCTCAGGTGCTCTCGCCTACCCCTCAGGTGCTCTCGCCTACCCCTCAGGTGCTCTCGCCTACCTCTCAGGTGCTCTCGCCTACCCCTCAGGTGCTCTCGCCTACCCCTCAGGTGCTCTCGCCTACCCCTCAGGTGCTCTCGCCTACCCCCCAGGTGCTCTCGCCTACCCCTCAGGTGCTCTCGCCTACCCCTCAGGTGCTCTCGCCTACCCCTCAGGTGCTCTCGCCTACCCCTCAAGTGCTCTCGCCTACCCCTCAGGTGCTCTCGCCTACCCCTCAGGTGCTCTCGCCTACCCCTCAGGTGCTCTCGCCTACCCCTCAGGTGCTCTCGCCTACCCCTCAGGTGCTCTCGCCTACCCCTCAGGTGCTCTCGCCTACCCCTCAGGTGCTCTCGCCTACCCCTCAGGTGCTCTCGCCTACCCCTCAGGTGCTCTCGCCTACCCCCTCAGGTGCTCTCGCCTACCCCTCAGGTGCTCTCGCCTACCCCTCAGGTGCTCTCGCCTACCCCTCAGGTGCTCTCGCCTACCCCTCAGGTGCTCTCGCCTACCCCTCAGGTGCTCTCGCCTACCCCTCAGGTGCTCTCGCCTACCCCTCAGGTGCTCTCGCCTACCCCTCAGGTGCTCTCGCCTACCCCTCAGGTGCTCTCGCCTACCCCCCAGGTGCTCTCGCCTACCCCTACCCCTCAGGTGCTCTCGCCTACCCCTCAGGTGCTCTCGCCTACCCCTCAGGTGCTCTCGCCTACCCCTCAGGTGCTCTCGCCTACCCCTCAAGGTGCTCTCGCCTACCCCTCAGGTGCTCTCGCCTACCCCTCAGGTGCTCTCGCCTACCCCTCAGGTGCTCTCGCCTACCCCTCAGGTGCTCTCGCCTACCCCTCAGGTGCTCTCGCCTACCCCCTCAGGTGCTCTCGCCTACCCCCAGGTGCTCTCGCCTACCCCTCAGGTGCTCTCGCCTACCCCTCAGGTGCTCTCGCCTACCCCTCAGGTGCTCTCGCCTACCCCTCAGGTGCTCTCGCCTACCCTCTCAGGTGCTCTCGCCTACCCCTCAGGTGCTCTCGCCTACCCCTCAGGTGCTCTCGCCTACCCCTCAGGTGCTCTCGCCTACCCCCCAGGTGCTCTCGCCTACCCCTCAGGTGCTCTCGCCTACCCCTCAGGTGCTCTCGCCTACCCCTCAGGTGCTCTCGCCTACCCCTCAAGTGCTCTCGCCTACCCCTCAGGTGCTCTCGCCTACCCCTCAGGTGCTCTCGCCTACCCCTCAGGTGCTCTCGCCTACCCCTCAGGTGCTCTCGCCTACCCCTCAGGTGCTCTCGCCTACCCCTCAGGTGCTCTCGCCTACCCCTCAGGTGCTCTCGCCTACCCCTCAGGTGCTCTCGCCTACCCCTCAGGTGCTCTCGCCTACCCCTCAGGTGCTCTCGCCTACCCCCCAGGTGCTCTCGCCTACCCCTCAGGTGCTCTCGCCTACCCCTCAGGTGCTCTCGCCTACCCCCCAGGTGCTCTCGCCTACCCCTCAGGTGCTCTCGCCTACCCCTCAGGTGCTCTCGCCTACCCCTCAGGTGCTCTCGCCTACCCCTCAGGTGCTCTCGCCTACCCCTCAGGTGCTCTCGCCTACCCCTCAGGTGCTCTCGCCTACCCCCCAGGTGCTCTCGCCTACCCCTCAGGTGCTCTCGCCTACCCCTCAGGTGCTCTCGCCTACCCCTCAGGTGCTCTCGCCTACCCCTCAGGTGCTCTCGCCTACCCCTCAGGTGCTCTCGCCTACCCCTCAGGTGCTCTCGCCTACCCCTCAGGTGCTCTCGCCTACCCCTCAGGTGCTCTCGCCTACCCCCCAGGTGCTCTCGCCTACCCCTCAGGTGCTCTCGCCCTATGTTGCGCCTGACGCGTCAGGCGTTTTTGACGCTGGCGTCTGGACGGGGCGTCCAGACGCTTGACGCCCAGGGCCCTCTGCCCTGGACGCCCGCTTGACGCTAGTCCGGGCAGGTCAAAAAACTTATCCGGGCAGGGGTAAAAAAACCTGCCTAGTAAGGATATGCAAGGGTTTGAATGCAAGAAGGTCACATTTGTCACCTACAGTCATAAATACTCTATAATATCCAGAAAATCCTGAAAATCTCCTAATCTCACACACAAGTTAAATACTCCTCTTCTCACATGCACAATCTAGGGAAGAGGGGGGGTTGCCACATATTCATCAGCCAGCAGCTTGTCTTCTTCCTCCTCCTCCTCCTCATCCACCTCCTCCTGCAGAATGTATCCCTTCGGGACCGGGGGGTCTGGCTTGTTACCCTCAATTACCCCGGCCCCCTCCATCTCAGGTCGCTTGTGTGCATTATGCACCACCAGCCAGTTGTGGGCCACGTACACCAAGTCGCGGCATTTCTCCGACCCTAGACGGTTCCGGCGAGCCGTGTGCACTCCCTCCCACTTAGCCCAATTCCGCTCGCACGAGGAGGCCGAGACGGGCTGCGCAAGGGTGCGGCGCGCTTTGTCAGCTAGCTCGGGTTAGTCGCATCCATGCCACTGCCACCAGCTTAGCATATCCCCCTTCCCAGCCCGAATCTCCTCCCGAGCCTCCACCGCGGCCTTTGTGCCGAAACTCCCATCACCGTTAATGTAGGCAAGCATCCCCTTCTGAAGCTCTTTGAATCCACCAGCACCACCCCTCTTGTACTTCACCAAGAAATCATGCGCACGCTCTAAGAACTCCTTCATGACTTTGGTACACTCCCTATCCCGAAGAAAGATTCCCTCCTTCTGGTTGGCCGGATTAAAAATCCGGCCAGCCACATGGAGCGCACATGCAAGGCTATCATCCCATCTAGCCTTCAGAAAATCGCTGATCTTCTCCTTATCCTCGTCGCTCAGCTGCTCCTCATCCTCCTCCAGCAATGCACTCATTTCCTCCGTCAACTGTAGCATCAGGTCATACATATTTGCCATCATCCCCTTCTTTGTCGAGTCTGTCTTACGCATGGTGACATATGGCAGCTGCAGCAGCTTCTTGAAGAACTCTGCTGTCTTCCACCACGCAGAATCCAGCACGTACTTCTCAAACTTGTCTGCTGCATCCTTCACCTTAGCACCAGCAGCTGCAGCCCAGTCCTTGAAGACATCATGGGAGACCATGCTGGACAGATGAGGGCGCAACTGACAAAGTCGAGACACGGCAAGGTATTGTGTCCCGAAGCGAGTGCCCGCAGGTCGCAATGCCTGCAGCACCTTCTCGCCATGCAGCTCCCCCGCCCTCAGGTATGCGCGTGTCCAATGATGGTTGCGCAAGAATGTGATCAGCTCCCCCGCTCGTTCAACCAACTTTTTGGCCCAATCCATCTTCCCTATGTCTTCCATAAAGAGGTCAAGCACATGCGTTGCGCACGGCACAATCTCAATGTGCGGCCATTCCTTCACAATCTCACGGGTCGCAGCTGCGTAGTTGCTCGCTCCATCCATGCATAGTGCAACGACATTTTCCGGCCCCACCTTCTTTATGAGTGGCCGGATGAGGCTAGCAATGTAACCGCCTGTTTTCCGCTCCATCCCGCAGTCAACACTCTCCATAAACACAGCTCCATCTTCGTTGACGCAAAGGAAATTCGCCTGCGCACGCCCATTCCTGTCACTCATCATGTCACTAGCGATGGTGACACCTTTCTCCGGCCACTTCTTAACCACGGGATCCAACCCCTCCTCAATCCTCTTACGAGTCCGCTGCAGTCCAGCCCCGCCCACGTACTTTCTCTTCGGAGGGACATAGCTACCACCCGCTGCTGCAACTGCCCTTATCATGTTGCGGAACAGAGACATATGGCATCATCCGCCACCCGCCTAGCCACTGACCCCTCCGCCCCATAGAAATCTGACATGCGCCCTCTCTTAGAACCCACCCCGCTGCTGGTTTTGCCACTCACCGCATCCATGGCCGCCATCTCCGCCCGGTTTTTCTCCAACTGCTTCTTACATTTCCCCTCCTGCAATGTGCGAATGCTCTCTACTACCTCTTTTGGCGCATCCGGGCACACAGTAATGTCGTGACCCTTCTTCCCCTCCCAATCAGCAAGATGAGCGGTGCAACGCGTGCTACTGGAAACGAACTCTTTCGGGCAATAACGGCATTTCGCCATTCTGCCTTTGGTGGGGTCCTTAACGTAAAATAAAAAATGCTTGTACACGGGATGGTTAGGCATTTCGTCGTACTGGCGTTCTCCCTCCACACCACCGGCAGAAGGTGTGGAGGCACTAACAGAATGACCGGCGGGACTAGGAGTTGACATGATGTCTTAATCGTCTTAACCTAGTTTTAGCGAGGTAGGCTTAGTAGCGTGACTGTTGCCTAGTAGGAATGATTGGCTATGTTGAGAGAAACAGATCTGTGTAATGTCGACCTAGATCTGGTTCTCTAGTTTAGTTGGGGGTCGACCTGGTTGGGAGAAGTAGATGTGGATGGGTACAAATGTGTGGGGGGGAATAAATGAGGGTTGCGTTTTTGTAGGTCAAAAACGTGGCCCCCAGTTGTCAATTTCATCGCAATGCTGGTCGCGATGAGATCGCGAGTCAATTTCGTGCGGGGAATTTTTTTTTTTTTCGGGCTGCCCGAAATTTTTTTCCCCGAACGTCCAGCGTCAAACCAAACGTGAACGTCCGGACGCTGGACGCTGCCCTTCCAGGGCGTCAGGCGCAACATAGCTCTCGCCTACCCCTCAGGTGCTCTCGCCTACCCCTCAGGTGCTCTCGCCTACCCCTCAGGTGCTCTCGCCTACCCCTCAGGTGCTCTCGCCTACCCCTCACGTGCTCTCGCCTACCCCTCAGGTGCTCTCGCCTACCCCTCAGGTGCTCTCGCCTACCCCTCAGGTGCTCTCGCCTACCCCTCAGGTGCTCTCGCCTACCCCTCAGGTGCTCTCGCCTACCCCCCAGGTGCTCTCGCCTACCCCTCAGGTGCTCTCGCCTACCCCTCAGGTGCTCTCGCCTACCCCCCAGGTGCTCTCGCCTACCCCTCAGGTGCTCTCGCCTACCCCTCAGGTGCTCTCGCCTACCCCTCAGGTGCTCTCGCCTACCCCTCAGGTGCTCTCGCCTACCCCTCAGGTGCTCTCGCCTACCCCTCTGTTGTGTTGCGACTGTCGTTGCCAACCGTCTTGTTGCTTATCATTGCCTTTCACGGGCTCTCGTGTGCCCTCCTCGCTGCGCCCATGTGCAGGCGTGCAGGTGCAGCACCTGCGATCGCTGGGCGAGACTGACTGCACTCTGCACCACGCGCAGGTGGGAGCACACCCTGCTGCCATGTGCGCCCAGGTGGGAGCACAGGGAGGTGGGAGCACAGGCAGGTGGGAGCACAGGCAGGTGGGAGCACAGGGAGGTGGGAGCACAGGCAGGTGGGAGCACAGGGAGGTGGGAGCACAGGCAGGTGGGAGCACAGGGAGGTGGGAGCACAGGCAGGTGGGAGCACAGGGAGGTGGGAGCACAGGCAGGTGGGAGCACAGGGAGGTGGGAGCACAGGCAGGTGGGAGCACGCCATGCTGCTGCGCTCCTGTGCACCTTGTTTGTTCTCTACCACTCGTATCCGGTGTGAAGCGCTTTGGTGCCTGCAGTGGTGCTCTTGCCACAGCTGTGAGGAAGACTCTTCAAATGCTACCAACTGTGAGTGTGTGGACGAGACAACAAACACGAAAAGGATAACAAGAGTTGCAATACGATTCAGATTTCATTGCCTGCGTTTACGCTCACACTTCACTGCCTGCTTCATCCTCTCACTTGGCTTCCCTTGCCTGCCTCTCCACTCCATCCTCACCCTCTCCTACGTTTCGTGCCCCTTGCAACCTCTTCCAAGTCCTTCATCGCTCTTCAGCATCTCCTCCCATCTGTCACTCACTCGCCTTTCTCACTCACTTGTCCCCTTTCCTGCGATCTCCTCTCGCTTCCCACATACTGCTCCCCCTTTCTCATTCACTTCACCCATTCCTTCCATGCTCCCCTCATTGCCCCCCACCCGTCCCGTGTCCTCTCAGCCGTTGCCCCGTGACACGGCGCTGGCAGCAGCAGCCATCTACGCGCACATGTTCCCCGCCCGCCCTCCCTCCTCACACGCTCATTCGCCACCAGACCTTGCTCCTGGTGCAGAGGCGAGGGGGGACGAACAACAAGAGAGGGATGAAGATGGGGTTGTTGCAACATTTCAGGTTCTCTGGTTCCTCACGCCGTGTCGTTTCATCAGCCATGCCACAACAACTCAACCCTTTGGCTTCGTTTTCAATCAGCTGTTCATTCAGAATTCTCAACATGCCCATCTCTCCCCTCCCACGTGCACTCTCCCCCAACCCCACTCTCCTTTCAGAGCCTACCTGCCTTCTTGCGAGGTGATTCTTCAATGCTCAAGTATCCAACCTCCCCCCCCCCCACTCGGTGCAGGTCATCTTCATGGCGGGCTGGGCGCCCCACGAGTCGCAGCAGAGGGCTCGCCCTCGTGGATCCGCGGCCATGTCTCTGCACGCCCTGCACCACTCTCTGCCTGCCTAGCCGTGACACCACATCTACCCGCTACTGCCCTCCCACCACACCGCACCGCCGCACCGTTTCTCATGCAGCGAACTTGCCATACTGTATGAAGCATAATGATTGTTGATAGCAGAAGCAGTGTAAACCAACATTCTAGTATTACGCATGTCCAGAGGATTAAGCAACCAAGAAGGTTAGCCTTTCAACAACCTTGCAACCCCATAGTCAGCAACAGGTTGCTTAGTTCCAGGTTCCCAGAAGTCAGCATTTTAACGCTAAGTTGGACAAAATAAACTGTAATTCTCATACAATACCTTTTTCCATGTGTAAACTAATCAATCAGCTTTCAACAAACATGTACGGTACTGTCCCCCCTTAGAGGACATATCTGTCTATCAGAATCAAGTGAGCAGTAATGAATGAACAATGAGAATGTTGGGTACAAGTACTAAACCTACCGTAATCTCCCTGACATAACACCCTAGGGTGTTATGCACACATACAGGAAAGGGAGGGTCTTCTCATCGGAAAAAACTACACACTACCCGGGTCTATTCATATGATTTTTTTTTAAATAGGGATTTTGATAAATGGACAGCTTGGGTGCTTCCAAATTCGGTTTACCAACACACTCAGAGGCGGGAACGCGAGTTTTGGCAAGTGATATCTTGACCACCTTGAAGATGGCATATGGCACCTCCCTCGCCACTTGACAACGAAAGATTCGCCACCGTGGCGACAACGAAATTGTGGTAGGGGGGGAATCTCGGCAAGAGTGTCGAGAAAAGTGTTGTACCCTCTAAGGATAACCCCTAAATAGCCTAGAAATATAGAAAACATATAATGTTTTGACACACCCCCATAGGTGAAGTAGGGGATAGCCAAACCAAAGAGGTGTCACAAGACCAGTCAGGAGAAGCAAACAAAGCAAAGCCCAGGGTGGATCTCAAGATCACCACGCAGTCTGAGCACAAGCAAGTGGCGACAAGGTCAGTTCACATGCAGAGTTATAAAAACAGAAGCAGTACAGTGATCACAATCTAGCAAGAGCAAGCATGCAGGTATATATATAGAGACCACAGTACAAGGCAAGTCAAGCAACCAGTAGGTGAGGCAGAGTGGGCAGAAGCCCAAGAGCAGTGCAGAAACGCTGATGAACACCAGACCCAAGGGCCTTGGTGAAGACATCAGCAGTGTTGGCCCGAGAGGCCACGTAGGAAAGGCGAAGCTGACCACGCTGCTGCAACTCTCGAGCAAGGAATTAGCGAAGAGCAATGTGCTTCCTTCTGTGCTCCAGTCTCTGCTCCTGACACAAGGCAAGCATGACATTGTTGTCAACGTACAGAACTGGAGGAGAACGAGGCCGCTCCACCAAGTCGATCAGCAGGTAGGTCAGCAAGCGTAGCTCCTGTGCGGCCATAGCCCCAGCGTAGATCTCGGCCTCACAGCTGGAACCAAGCACAGAAGAAGAACGAGTGGACCTCCACGAGAGAGAACCAAAGCCAAGACTGAAGGTGTAACCCTATGACGAATACTGAGACGCCTGGTCGTTGGCCCAAGAAGCGTCGGAGTGTCCCGTGAGTACCACTGAACCCTGTCCTCCAAGCACGAGCCCCATGCCCGGAAAACTGCACAAGTAACGCAGTACCCTCGTCGCAACATCCGAGTGCAACTTTCGGTGTCGACCGGGAGCCACGTAGTGAGCCAGGAGGCTGAGAGGGTACGCGAGGTCAGGTCGTGTGCACGTCATCAAGTACATGAGACAACCCACAAGCTCTGGATACAGACCACTCAGCTCTACGGACTCGTCCGAAGGTGGAGCTGAGAGCGAGAGGCCAGTAGGCAGAGAAGTGGGCTGTGGCGAGGAGTACTGGAAGCTGAAGCGCTGAACGACCTGGTACACCATGTGTGACTGAGTCAGGGTGATGGTGCGCCGTGCCCTGTCCCAGGTAATCTGCAAGCCAAGATAGCTACGCAGCTCATCTAGATCAGTGCAGGTGTGTCTCTCCTGCACCTCCGCCTTCACTCGCCTCAGTGTTAGCAGTAGCAAAAACCAAGTTGTCGACGTACACGAGAACGTAGAACGGCGGCAGGGTAGTGTCGGTGCGTAGAAACAGCGACGAGTCAGCAGAGGAAGGAGAAAATCCAAGAGCCGCAAGTGTAATCCTCAGTGTATCGTGCCACTCGCGGGGCGCCTAGCGTTGACCGTAGACTGGCCGCCGGAGGCTCCACTGGGTACCAGCAGGAAACGACCCAGTGAAGCCAGGTGGGCGGCGCAGCCAGATCTCCTCGTGAAGGCTGCCCTGCAAGAAAGCTGTGAAGAAGTCGAGGGAGTGCAACTCGTAGTCACGCTGTGCTGCAACGTGCAGCAACACCCGAAGAGTAGTCATCTTCGGGGTGGGGGAGAAGGCCTGGAAGTAGTCGACCCTCTGTCGCTGATTGAAGCCTCGAGCAACGTAACGCGCCTTGAAGGTAGGCGGAGAACCCGGCGGTCGCTTCACTCTGAAAATCCACATGCCATCGACTATGTTCGCCCCAGGAGGAGGAACCTCGTCGACGTAGGTGCCTGTGGACTTCCAGGAAGCCATCTCTGCGTCCTTGGCTGTCTTCCACTGAGAGGAGTACTCATCCGCGATTGCCTTAGAGTAAGAGCGCAGGGTCGGGATGTCCAGTGCATCCGTGTCTCCCTCAGGGAAAAGTAGCATGGATGCGAAACGAGGTAAAACGGCCGCAAGACACTCAAGCTCAAACTGCCTGTCCTCAAGGACGTCATTGCCAAGGGCAGGCTCACCCCCGACGGACGAAGGACAGACAGACTCAAACTGAGTAACAAGACTCGCGACGTAGTCGAGACGACTCCTAGCTGCAAAGTCGACTAGCTCAGTGACTAGGGCATACGCAGCAGTAGACTCAAAGTCAGGGCTAGTGACTACAGTAGCGAGGAGACGAGTGACAGTAGGACTGGCAGCACGAGCAAGGTCAAACTCAGGGTTAGGAACGTGCGGAAGAGAGGACGTGGGAGGCTCAGGCATAACAACACGCCGTGGAACAGAGGAAGGACGAACTGCCATACCGTGAGTGCCTGGGTTAGCAGGAGGACGAGGACGGGCGACACGACGAGCACGAACAGGTGTGGAAGCACGAGTGGCTCACGACGCTCAGTCAGGGGCTCAGTGAGGAGTAGGAGCAGGCAGCGGGGAGCTAGGCAGTAGCTGTGGCTGAGACTGGTCTGTCGGTGGACACAGGAGAGGTGGAGTGAGGCCAGTGGAAGAAGGGAGACTAAGAACCTAGCGAAGGGCTGAGTCAGGCAGTGGAAGGGACGGCTGCGACTGCGGGTAGAAAAACGGTCGGCGCGGCCCAGTACCCGTGCCGTCAGCAGCTCCAGTACCTCCATTACCTCCAGCTCCAGCGCCTCCACTACCAGCAGCACCTCCAGCACCTCCAGCACCAGCAGCACCAGCACCTCCAGTGCCAGCAGCTCCAGTAGCACCTCCAGCACCACTAGCACCAGCACCTCCAGTGCCAGCAGCTCTAGTACCCCCAGCACCTCCAGCAGCACCTCCAGCACCTCCAGCACCAGCAGCACCACCAGCTCCGGCAGCTCCAGCACCTCAGTAGGAGCACCTCCAGGACCAGCAGCTCCAGCACCTCCAGTACCTACAGCTCCAGCGCCTCCAGCACCAGCAGCACCAACACCTCCAGTGCCAGCAGCTCCAATAGCACCTCCAGCACCAGCAGCACCACCAGCTCCGGAAGCTCCAGCACCTCTAGTACGAGCACCTCCAGGACCAGCAGCTCCAGCAGCCCCAGCACCAGTAGCACCAGCACATCCAGTGCTAGCAACTCCAGTACCCCCAGCACCTCCAGCAGCACCTTCAGCACCAGCAGCACCACCAGCTCTGGCAGCTCCAGTACCTCTAGTACGAGCACCTCCAGGACCAGCAGCTCCAGCAGCTCCAGCACCAATAGCACCAGCACCTCCAGTACCAGCAGCTCCAGTACCTCCAGCACCAGCAGCACCTCTAGCACCAGCAGCTCCAGAAGCGGTAACACCGTAACCTCCACCACCAGGACGGCCTCGCTAAACGATCCACTCATGAATCTGCTGCGGCGAGAGCGTCTCAAGTCGCCTAGGCTGTCCAACTCCAGGACCTCCAATAGGGTCACCCACAGCTCCACTGCCACTAGGACTCGCAGCACCCCCAGTGTCAGCACCCCCAGTCTCAGCACCTCCAGAACCCGCACCCCCTGTCTCAGCACCCCCAACAGCACAAGAGTCCACAGAAGCAGGCTGCGGAGGCGGCGAAGACGTCCGAGGCGGAAAACTAGGGGGGGTCTCCAAGCGAGGAGAGTGGCGAGTGGCCGCCGTGTCGTCAGCGGCGGGGTCACCCCTCTCAGCCGGGCCAGAGGAGTCAGAAGAGATCTCTTAAGGCTCAACCAAGGGGGGTGGGTCTACCTGAGACACACCTGAGGGAGCAGGACCCTGTGGGGGGAGGGGGTCTACCAGGGGGGGAACTTGTACCAGGAAGAGAGGCGCCAGGGGGACCGGGTGGGACGCGTGCGGGTGGAGCCTGTAGAAACAGACCGTCTCGTCAAAGGTGACGTCCTGGGAGGAGAACACGCGACGCGAGCGAGGGTAGTAAAACTGCCACGGCGGGGCGTCGGTGTGGAAGCCAAGGAAGGCGCAGCGGAGAGTGCAAGGAGCGAGCTTGCTCGCGGTGGTATCGCGAACAAGGGAGAGCACGCCCCAGACTTGAAACGCCGACGCATCGCCAAGGTCTCTGGCAAAGATGCACGGGGCCAGAGGGTGAGCTGATGCGCGGCGTATCGGACAGCAAACGACCACACAAAATGGGGAGCAGTCGCATGGATGATGGAGGTGCGAGCAACCTCCATCACCAAGCCAATGCGGCACTCTGCATTCCCATTATGTTGTGGAGAGGCCGGAAGCGTGAACGTCTGGCGGATTCCCCGGTCTCGTCAGAACTCTGTAAGGAGGCCAGACGAGAACTCACCCTTTT